CAGGTACATACCTGTTGGGGATCTCGGATGTGTGGAGCAGCTCAATCCGTTAGTTACCTGAACTCTCAATTTAACATCTGATATATCTTTGAAGTTTGAAGTTCTTAAGCTTGCCCAATTCCGTTTTCCATATCTCTGGTGTGGTGTGATTCTTTGTGTGAGTTTTCATTGCTGCATATCTGTTTGAGAGGGAATTTGAAAGCGGTTCATTGCAAATTAGCACAGACCAAAGAAATAGAGGTAATCTATGTGTGGTCCTTCCTGGGCCACTCATGTTAAAAATAGTCATAATGGAATTGATAGCACCTAACATTGAGGAAACACCCGATAAATGAAAACTTATTGATGAATTAAACACCCAATAGATGAAGATGAAGTAATGAATTAGGCATTCGCTGGTTTGTTTCATCTGAGGGCGTGAAGGAGGACAAAGCTTAGAATTATCCGCTTTGATAATGCCACTAGGCATTTGATTCAAGCACTGGGCAATGATTCAAAGACTTTGTCGCATTTCTTCAATTCGGAGTCGCGGACACAATAACGATCATTATGATTACAAAACATTATCCTTAACATAACTTTTGCACATGATTTGTTTAACTGAGCTTCTACACTCTCTCCTTCTTCTTTAAAAGTTCTTCTTTGGCAGTTTTGTGTTAAAGCTTTGATAAATTCTTTTGCTACTTTGAGTTCTGAATTTGTAATACTACGAATCACTTTAATTACTGTGATAGGCACTTCAAGGATAAAAAGTCCACTGCCGAAAAGGTATGCCAACCCTGAGCAGGAATAAGGGACCGCGGTCCAAGGTAATAGGATAGTAGTCTGTTCTTGTATGATGTAGTTCTGGTTTTCATTGAGGGAAGGTAGTGGGAGTCGTGTACGGTAGTAGGGGCAAGATACATGGTAGGATTGGGTTCTCTGTGGAAATAAGGGAAACATAGAAATTTAGCAAACGAAAATATTGCAAGGGACCTGACTGTCCACAACTTGCCAGAGTGTATCACAATGCATGCCACGTTACCAATCACACAGATTATGAACCATCACACAGCACAAAGTAGAGATGAGATGTGAACCAAGATGCGCGGCTTATATTATCTCCAACACATTACAAGAGTATCTCGAGTTCAAAGAACCAATAGTGCGATATGTCTCTCCTTCTCATACCACTGCAATGTGAGGCCTGGCTCATCCAGCGCCACATCTCAACAACAAGTTAAACGCAGAACAGGTATGTCTCCACCATAGCCAACATCGTACACCTGCCTCTTCCTCTCTTTCTCCCTCAAGATCTCTGTCTCAGTTCTCTTCTCTCATCATGCATGCACACTCCTTCTACGAGAATCTACTTCGAATGCCACTCACTGAAGGCTAACTACTAACCCTCTAACTACATTAACTAGTTGGGGCAGCTATGGCTGCTACTAGCAAACCAGCGCCCAGCCTTCTTCCTCTCTTAGCGCAGCTTCTCCTGCCAGCGCTCACCCAGCCAGCCAGCGCACAAGTGCCTTCAGCACTTCCACGCCAGAATGCTACTGGGGATCTGTCCTCAAGGGAGGCTGGCCTGCTTCTTTATACTGCTGGCCTCCCTTCGTGAGGTCTGTATTGGCACTTTTGGGCCTCCTTCAGTCCCAGACCGCCGCATGGTGTGTGTCCCAGTACTTTCCCTTCAGGGTCTGCTGCTGCTGCGGCCATCTGGCCTGAATTTTGGACTTGATGCCTGAATCTAGACTCTCCCTTTGACTTGAATCTTGACTGGGACTTTATCCTTTGGACTTCTTTTGAACAGACACACCTACTGCTCGAACAGACACACATACTGCACGAACAGACACACATATTGCACGAACAGAGACACACATACTGCACGAATAGACACACATATTGTACGTACAGACACATCTCCTGTATGAACAGACATGACCTGCACCCCCCCTGGATGAACAGATGTGATTCATCTGAATATTATAACTGTTCGTCCAGGGGCACAACTGTGACCTTTAGCATTGGCTTTTACTTTAGTTAGGATGTGACTTTTGACCCAGAGAACGGGCCTGTTGATCTGCTTTTCACGAGTTGGGGTTCTGGGCGAGTGACCCCTTTATGCT